GCGGAAGCGGAAGTGGGCAACGGCACGGGCTCCTGGGTCTCTTTGAGGAGGCCGAAGGGCCTGGGGGTTTGATTTTGACGGGGAAGAGGTTCCCAGGTAGGTGATTGGAAGGGCCCGCTGGGCGGTAATCTCTAGTGTGACGCAGAGAGTAGATGGAGGAAGTCACCAGCTGCCTTCCTGCCTAACTTTCCTGTTGCTACCATTCAGCCTAAGCCCAGGACAGGCAGGCCGAGGGTTCTGAGGCTCCCGCTACCGGATGCCATGCGGCTCCGCTCACCTTCCAGAAATTTCCTCAGTGAAGTTGCCCACCTGAGGAATCCCTGTCCATTTTTGCATGGTCATCAGACTGGGTCTCCTGTGTGACCCAGTGACCTGGCTCATTATTCTGAACTTCCTATTGAAAAAACAAAAAAGGGGTGCCAGGAAAGACCCTGTCTAGTGGAAGTTGATTCTCTCAGTCTCTATCCTCCATTGGAATTCTCTCCAAACCTTTGTCTTTCTTCCTTTCCATAGCCCTATGTGTTGTTGTTCTTTATGCTGTAAATGAGGGAAACAAGGTTCAGAGATGCCATGATTGAGGGAATGGACCCCAAATCCTTGCCGTTGGATCTTACATGCACTGAGGCGACACCTGCCAAAGCTGTGGTAGCCATTTCTTTGGGGAGGCAGAGTGGGGATTGTGCCTTGTGTGCCTGATTCCCTTACCTCTTCCTTGCCTAGTACGGAGGTTGTCATGTAATAAGCTTCGGTAAATAAGTGGCTCAGAAAAGCTTCTCTGCCTCTTTCAGTGTGGAGTTCTCGCCATCAAAACAGTAACCTTCTTCAGTGCTGCTGTATTCTCTGTAAGGGTTTTGTTAACAGTACAGGCCAGAGCCCATTTCCTCCAAGCCAAACTCAAGTCTGTAGATAGAACCGGAACAAACAAGAATGTGCTTTTCTTCTAGCGCAGTCTCAAATGTGTCCTCCCAGAGATGCTATTGGGTGCTCAGTTTCCTTTCTTTCTTTTTCTTCCTTCCTTCCTTCCTTTCTTCCTTCCTTCCTTCCTCCTTCCTTCCTCCTTCCTTCCTCCTTCCTTCCTTCCTTCCTTCCTTCCTACTTTCTTCCTTCCTTCCTTCCTTCCTTCCTTCCTATCTTTCTTCCTTCCTTCTTTTGTTGTTGTTTGTTTTTGTATGTTTGTTTGTTTTTCTGAGACAGGGTTTCTCTGTAGCTTTGGAGCCTGTCCTGGAAACTAGCTTTTGTAGACCAGGCTGACCTCAAACTCACAGAGATCCGCCTGCCTCTACCTCCCGAGTACTGGGATTAAAGGCATGCACCACCACTGCCCGCCTCAGGTGCTCAGTTTCTTAGATGTTATTGTTGTTATTGTCCCAAGTGTTTGGGTAGTTCCTCTGGTTGGTTGGTTTGTTTATTTTATATTCCCTTTTATTTTATGTGTATGGGTTTTTTTTTCCTGCATGGAAGTCTGTACGTCTCATATGTACAGTGCCTGTAGAGGCCGGAAGAGGTTTTGGATCCCTTGGAACGGGAGTTACAGATAGTGTTAGCCTCCATTTGAGTGCTGAGACTATTACCCTGGTCTTCTGAAAGCAGTCAGTGTCCTTACCCGCTGAATCAGCTCTCCACCCCCTGTCTAGTTCTTCAATCCTTTATTTTCGATTGCGAAATCTGGAGTTTCGAAGACTAATTTCCCCTTTTAACTTAGTAATGAAATCTGAACTGACATGAGGCCATTTAGAACCTCTTCCAAATATCTACATGTTTTTGTTGGTGGGGTTTGTTGCACCGAGCATCTCCACCCCTCACTGCGTGTTCTGGAATGTATGGTACGGGCACTGCAATACCTTTCAAAACAACGGCAAAACTCCACAGTTCAACTGGCCTTGAGGAAATTGTGTGGGATTGTGGATCACGAGCTTAACATAACCTGAAAAGTGCTTTCCTGTCACAATTCTGACAAAATGGCAGGGAAGGAACAATGTTGGGGAAAGCAGATCCAAAAAGAAAACCAAGAGACGTCTTCTAGACCAGGTGCTCACTTATGTGCACACACACATGCAGAGACGGAGGGAGAGATTTGACTTCATTGTGTGTTTGCTTCAGAAATGTTTAATCAAGAAGGTTCCTCAGCTAAAGTTTTCAACCTTAGGGAACTTGATTCACGCTTCTTCACAAAACCAATAAAATGGTTCTCATGAGATATTTGCTGATTTCTTCAAAAATATTTGCTCAAATTCTAGGCTTTTGCATACATGACAATTCCAGAAGCTAGATTCTTTTAAAATGTCATGTTTGAAATCCTGTCCCAGAGCAGGAACACTCAGTCATTTGGTCATTCATCCCTCACATGTGTCCTGGGTTCCCACTATGGCAAGGTAGTCCTTAGGTGTAGGATCGCAGTGGTCAGACAGTCAGGTCAAAGCCCTTGGGGAGCTTCTAGTCTGGTGTTATTTGCCATAGCCAAACAACAAGTAGTTAAGTACATATTATTTTAAATGTCATGAAAGAAATCTAAGTGCCAAGAAGGAGCTCAATTGTGCGTTGGAAAGAGTATGATAGGATGACCTTTATAGTGAAATGGAGTCAGAGGGGTAATGAATCTAGGGCATGAATTGCCTTTTTCCCTCTTATTTCTCAATGTGATGGTGACGTGGGTAGTCAGACAACTGAGAGTCAAGTGTGGAAACTTTCCTCCTTGCTGCTGATTTTGCCTCAGATGCAGTATAGTCATGAGGTGCTTAATGACAGGCACATTCCGAGATAAGCACTAAAAGGTCTACACAAACATAGGATGTACTTACCCAAACTAAGATGGCCATGACGTCACTCGGTGATGTAATGTTATGTGACCACAGTCATCCTTGACTGAAGCACCTGCAGCATATGACTTTAGTTACAAATCTCTAGGTTACGTCAGGGTATGAGCAGACAGCATTTCTCTGTGGTCGAGTGTCTAAAACATAACAAGGTCACATCACTTACAACCGACACCAATTACTGAATTCCTTATGGTAGAATGGTAACTCATTGTGTGTTCATGTCACTGTATTTGAGTAAGTGATATTAATTTACCTATCTAGACTTTTTTCTTTGTGGCACTGTAGCAGTTGGGAGAGTTTTGGCATGGTGCTGGGCACATCCATTTTAAACTATTTTGGGTTAGAAGGCTCTTAATTTTTTTTTCTGGGCCAGAAAATGTCTAAAAAAACATTTCAAAAATTTAAGGATGCAGCTTAGAGAATATAAAAATCTGAATAATGAGCACAATCTTTGCAAAATATAGATAGATAGCTATAAGAACAAAAGATTTAACAACTGTTCAATTCCAGCAAGTTATGATTCTAAAATAGTTTTTTTAAAAACAGATTTATGAAGACCCAGATCAATATTTGTTTTTCTATGCTGGTGTACAGTGCAGCTCTGCACTGAGTGAGTTCAGTAGAGGAGAAAAAAAGGACAGTAGAAACCGAAAGTTTTAATAGGTTATTGGAAGCTTATAAATCATGTTTTTGCTGCAGGAGGAAGTCAGACAAAATGCTTGTCTTCAGGGTGCAAAGGAGATAATCAGAAAGTCAGAGACACACACTTCTCTTTTTCTTCATAGATATGGTCTCTTTCTGAGAAATATTAATTAAATTGATTATATTTCCTATCTCATTTATTTTAGAGTGCATGGGTTTTTATCAAAAAGAGACAGAACAGAAGGGCTAATGATCTGTTTTTTTTTAAAGGTTATAGTTCATTTACTATGCATCTCAAAATTATGTTTTCTTTCAACACACCAATTAATCAGGCATGAGCTAGAAGCCGAGGAGGTCAAGAAAACAAAACTAAAAATAACAAACAGTCGTTATGAATTTGATTTTTTTCTTTTGTGTGTGTGCAGCTTCGATAGTAAAATCTGATTATCGTTCATCTAGGCTTCAGTTGGTCTGGATGCTCATCAGGGCTTGAAATCAATTTGGCACAGTGCCTTGATCGCTGTAGGAGGTGAATCACCAGAGAAACTGCAAAAAAGTGACTCACCTTCCTGCAGAGTAATGAAAAAGAGGAAGGGAACAGCTTCATGTAAATTATAAACTGCTAATTCACAAGCATCCTGCGGATTCTTGGGGTGCATACCCCTTTTAAGTTTTAATGTGTAACCTAAATACCTTCCTTTTCTGTGTATTTGGAAAGCTGTCAGACATGGTAATCACTCCAGGTTTTAGGAAATTCCATCACTTTGACACTGTTGAATTTAAGTCCCTTATTTTTTTTCCTGAAAGTGAGTAAAGAAAGTAATCGAACCTTTCTCTCTAGTTTGCTAGACTTGTCTAGGCTAATATACTGGCTTTCAGTACTGTGCATTAGTTGTAGATCTGAGGAGGTAGAAGTGTTTGTCTTAGTGCTCGCTCCCTAGATGGACAAGAAAGTAGAATCTGTGTAGGTTTGATTTAGTGCCTTTTAGAGGGAGCATGATTAGGGCACTAGGAGCATCTCACAGTGTTGTCATCCCCATTTAAATGATTTCAGGACACAGTGTTGGTATCATGGCAGAATATGTGAAGATGCCAGAGTGCGAAGTCCCCTTCAATACTAGCTTGCCTACTCTCCATGTAAGCCTTTATACTCACTGTATGTTTATTTCTGCAGGGACTTTTGGAAACAGATAGACTACCTACAATTCTTTGGATAAAGGAGGTCAACCCTGTGAGGGATTTTGCCGTGCTCACCCTAAGAACCCTTATATAGTCCCCTCCTCCTGGACAGGCTGACTTGAAAACTAAATCTAGATTATTTTTTAAGACTGACTTGGTCTCCTGTAGATTTTTTTTTAAAAGGAACTTACATATTTTTTCGCACTTCCCTTGCAGGAAATCGATACTGTATCGCTTGGAGATGAATCATTTGTGCTTGAGAGCCTTAGGACCCGGGACAGATGTCCTGTCAGGAGCCCTGTAAACCACTCATTCTGGTCCCATCCCTCTCACCCCGCTTTACCTTCAGACTCAACTCTAGCTATGGCTTTCAGGAGGCAAGTGAAAAACTTCGTGAAAAATTACTCAGAGGCTGAAATAAAAGTCAGGGAAGCGACTTCCAATGACCCCTGGGGTCCCTCCAGCTCGCTAATGCTAGCCATCAGTGACATGACTTTCAACACGGCCTCCCTCTCTGAGATCATGCACATGATGTGGCAACGACTGGGTGATCATGGGAAGAACTGGCGCCATGTGTACAAATGCCTCTCCCTGATGGACTACCTCATCAAGAATGGCTCCAAGAAAGTTATTCAGTGTTGCAGAGAGGGGTTGTGCAACCTTCAAATGCTAAAAGATTTCCAACACATAGACGAAGCTGGAAAAGACCAAGGTAACCAACAGTTTGTAAAAAATTAGACAGGGCGCCATGAAGACATGAGTGCAGGGCATACGGTTTTAAACCCTGAACTGGAGCAAGGTGATTCTTGATTTTCACAGTGTCTTGCTATGTAGTCTAGGTTGTCCTGAGCTTCTCCTGTCTTAACCTCTAACCTCCCACGTGCTAGGATAACGGGTGCACACCATGACATTGGGCTTGAACAGTTGTTCTTAAATGTCCTTGCCACCTCTTTTCTTGATAGTCTAGCCCTCATTTCCATCCTCTGTGTTGAATGTGGCACTGGGAGAGCAGTAACACCCCGATCCAGTGGCACCTCATAGAAAAGCAGACACAGCAAATGAAAGGAGGTAGCATGACGGTTTGTATAATGATGGCACTATAACTCATAATTATAATTAGATTGGAATTTATTCATAATTTAGAGAAGTGTTTCTAGGGGATTTGGAATCTTCAAAGGCTACTGAGGTGGACATACTTAACAAACGTGCAGAAATTCAGGTCATGAAATAATTCAGGGTGTGGAGAGGAGATGACAAAGGGCTATACAGGATATTGAAGTAGATTGGCACCAAAGTATTTGCAAAGGTGACGAGCCAGCATGCCTTTCCTTTGCATTAGAAATGCGAAGCTATAATTTGTGTTTAAAGTGATAGACTTTAAATCATGAAGAGAGAATAAAGTTCACTGTACTCTATGGTTACTGCATTTTAAAACTACATTTTTTTGAGCCTGTCCTGGAACTTGGTCTGTAGACCAGGCTGGCCTCAAACTCTCAAACTCACAGAGATCTGCCTGCCTCTTCCTCCCAAGTGCTGGGAGTAAAGGCATGCACTACCACTACCTGTCCTAAAACTACATTTTTTAAAGTACAAAAATTATACAAAAAATTTCTCTGAATCCTTCTGCATCTACACAGTCTTTCTATTACTAACATCAGTGAAAGTTCATTTGCTGCAGGTGGCAGCCAGTGTTGATAATGTTCATAGATCATATGTGTCACACAGTTCTGTAGATTTTGGAAAGACATAATGTCCCGTGTCTACCACTCAATATTAAACAGGGTCCTTCCACTTACTTAAGTGTGTCTTACCACCCACCCTCACCCTCTTGGTCCTGGGTACCACTGGGCTTTATAATTCTTCCTTCTCTAGATGTCACGAGCTTAGACCCATAAAGCTTCTTTAGGTTGGTTTCTTTCATGGGCAATATACTCCAAAGTTCCTCCATATCCTTCCATACCTTGAGAACTTGTTCCTTTTCCTTTCTTCTTTATAAAATTTTTTTGGAATATAAATCACATACCATACAAATTGCACACTTGGATATATACATATATGTATAATAAATGTTTTATATAGGTATATATAATACATAATTATAAGGTTGTTTATTAGATTATTTTAAAATAAAAGTTGTTTTAGAACATTATAAAGATTGCTTAAAAGATATATGCATATTTATGTCATTTGGCTTTTATGTTCATTTGTATTGATTTTTGAGTCAGAACCTCATGTGGACTTGAGTTCATGAAGTAACTGAGTTGAGCTGACCTTGAACTCCTGGTCTTCTTCCCTCCACCTCACAGGCACTGGGAATAGTGGTGTGTGCTACCATGCCAGCTCATATTTACATTTGTAAGTGTGAAGTTTGGTGGCGTTAATTACATTTACTGTGTTGTGAAGCCACCACCACTCTTGTTTAAACCTTATTTATTTATTTATTTTATTTTTTTATTTTTTTTTGGTTTTTCGAGACAGGGTTTCTCTGTGGCTTTGGAGCCTGTCCTGGAACCAGCTCTGTAGACCAGGCTGTTCTCGAACTCACAGAGATCCGCCTGCCTCTGCCTCCCGAGTGCTGAGATTAAAGGCGTGCGCCACCATCGCCCAGCTTAAACCTTTTTTAAAAGTCACACTGTCAACATTAAGTAATAACTCCTCATTCCCATTCCATTAAGCTTCTGCTTTCTGTTTGGATGAACTTGGCCTTTAAGTCCACTATGTGTAAGTGGAATTTTACTGTTCTTTTTCATCAGGCTTATTTCTCTCACCTTACGATCCTTGAGGCTCATCCAGGTGGTAGGGGGAATCAGAACTCCATTCTTTGGTGGCTGGATACCATTTTCTTTTCCATGCTCACCACATTTAAACACATCTATTCATCTGTTGATAGAGTTGTGGAATATTCCGCCTGTGAGCTCTTGTGCATAACGCTGCAGTGAACATCAGTGTGTGTCAGGCTGGGTCTCTGCTTTCAGTTCTCTGGGGCGTGTACAGAACAGGGGAATCACTACAGCATGTGCTAATGCCAGTGTTTAGCCCTTTGAGGAACTGCTGAACCTTCTAGAAGGACTGAACCCTCCGTCGTACATTCCCATCAGCAATGCAAGAGGGCTTCATTTTTCCTGTATCTTTGTTAACACTTGTTACTTTGTCCATCTTAAAATTATGGTTAATCCTGCTGGATATAAAGTTGGACCTTGCTGTGCTTCTGATTTATATTTGCCTGCTTTGCTTTACATATCATATATAAAACACATTATTGTCAAATACAAGGCCATGAAGGTTTATACCTATATTTTCTTCTACAAGTTTGTAGTTTTAACTCTCTGTCTTAGTTAGGGTTTCTATTGCTGCAATTAAACACCATGACCAAAAAGCAAGTTGGTGAAGGAAGGGTTTATTTCGCTTATGCTTCCATCTCACTGCTCATCATTGAAGGGAATCAGGACAGGAACTCAAACAGGGCAGGAACCTGGAGGTGGGAACTGATGCAGAGGCCATGGAGGAATGCTGCTTACTGGCTTGCTCAGTCTGCTTTCTTATAGAACCCAGGGCCACCAGCCCAGGGATGGCACCACCCACAATGGACTGGGCGTTCTCCATCAGTCACTAATTAAGAAACTGCCCTACACCTGGATCTTCTGGAACTCTTTTCTCAATTTAGGGTCCCTCTTTCAGATAACTCTAGCTTGTGTCAGATTGACATAAAACTAGCCAAAAATTCTCTTATTCAAATCTTAGATTTTTGTTTAGTTAATATTTCTGTATATGAAATAGGAGCTGTCTTAGGGTTTCTGTTGCTTTGGACAGACACCACAGCAATAAGAGCTGACCATGGCAACTCATATAAAAGGAAACATTTAACTGGGTCTGGCTTACTGTTTCAGAAGTTTAGTCCATTATCATCATGGTGGCATGCAGACAGACATCATGCAGACATCATGGTGCTGGAGAAGGGGCTGAGAGTTCTACATCTTGATCCACAGGCAGCAAGAGGAGACGGAGTACTGGGTGGTGGTGCTGTTGGTGGGGGGAGCTTAGGAGGTGTGGCCTTGCTGGAGGACTGAGGGAAGGCTTTAAGAGCTTAAGGCCTCATTCTTTGTCCAATTGACTCTGTTTCCTGCTTGTGGTTGAGGATGCGAGCTCCCAGCTTCCTGCTCCGACCACTGTGCCTGCTTGCTGCCATGTTTCCCCATCATGGTGGACTCTTACCCTCTGGAACCATAAGACAAACAAGCCCTTCCTTCTGCAAGTTGTCTTGGTCATGACATTTTCTCCAGCGATAGTGGTGAGAGTAGGCAGCCCTCCCTTGTTCTTGCTTCTAGGAGGAAAGTTTTCAGCCATTAAAATGATGTTAGGTATGAATTTTCTTACTTTCTTTTTTGTTTTGAGTCAGGATCTCACTATGTAGCTCAGGCTGACCTGGAGCTCACAGTCCTCCTGCCTCAGCCTCCCAAATGCTAGGATTACAGGCTTGTGACAATGTAATGGTTAACTGTGGGCTTTTTATATTTGCTTAGGTCGAAGAGGCTTTATTCTGTTATTCTGATGTGTTAAGTGTATTTCAAATTTATTATTATTAATACTACTATAGTGTGTGTATGTGTGTGTGTGCTCACTCACATAAACACAGGTACTTGTGTGCCACAGCATATATGTGGAGGTCTGAGGACAGTTCTCAGGAGTCAGTTCTCCCCTTCCACCATGTAGGTTCTGGAGGTCAAACTCAGGTCATGAGGCTTGGTGGACGGCTCCATTACCTTCTCATCCACCCCACCAGCCACCCTTGAGTAACTAAGAAATGTGTTGACTTTTGTCAAATGCTTTTTATGCATCTTTTGAGATGATTAAGTGTTTTTAAAATCTTTTCATTTTGTGAATATGGTCTAAGACCTTGATTTTCTGCATTGCTTGCAGAAGTCAGATTTAATCATGGTGCATATCTTACTTCTTAAGTGTTTATTTTAGATTAGGTTTTAGGCTTAATGATGAAATTGGAAAACTCTTCATGAGTTTTCATCCTGCTGTGCTGATTCATTCAGAAATTTTTATATAAATCAACTTTTAAGAAGATTAAGTTCTTATTTGTTTATTAGACGAGGCCTTGCTATCTCATTGTGTAGTCTGGGCTGCCCTCCACCCTACAACCGACTTGCCTTTGCTTCCTGAGTCCTGATATAAACTTATTGTTACAAGGTAACAATTAAAATTTGCAGGTTTTCCCTTGAAAATTCAGAGCAGCTGTTTTATCACTGGCTTAAGAACTTGCATGACTCCATAAAGCAGAGAGAGGCTGGTCCCTGCTCTAAGCGCTCATGAGCTGTCCTGAAGAAGGGAACTGAAAAGAATAGAATTACAAATATTCAGACAGATCTGTTTATGCATTCATTATAGCCTTTCCATGAGCAAGGTATGAGTGTGTTTAAATCCACCTTTATAAAGCTTTTCAGATTCTCTAACACTTGAGCTCAGGACCAAATATGTAAACCACGTACACAACAATATGAGTTCTCCCAGTGACTGGCTATCACTAAGACAGCAAACAAAGCACAGACCAGAGCGCTCATGCCCACACAGTGCGTTGATCTGTTCATTTTGGAAGGGGCACCAGCCATTGATTGATAGCATTGGTGCACGTCACATTTATTAATTGAATATTTACCAATGAATGAAAATAATTACCTTGTGGGCATTACTATCTTTTACATATCT